TCCATTCATGCGCATTCCCAACTTGAAGATGAACTTGTCAAAATCAGCTCGTCCCAATGATTTTGTGAAGAGATCTGCTGGCTGAAGAGAAGACATAACATGTCTGGGAAGAATGAAGCCGGCTTTGTACTGATTTCTGACCACGTGGCAATCGATGTCTAGATGCTTGGTTCTCTCATGGAAAACCGGGTTGGCCGTGATGTGTAAAGCGGCACGATTATCACACCAAAGAGGTATAGGAGTGTGAATAGGAAGTGGCAGATCATTGGCCAAAAAAGAAAGCCATTGGAGTTCACATACAGTGCTAGCCATTGATCTATACTCAGCTTCTGCCGATGAACGAGAGACGGTTTTATGCTTCTTTGTCTTCCAAGATATTAAGGCTTGCCCCAAGAAAATGCAGAAGCCAGTGAGAGATTTCCTTGTGATGTTACAGCTACCCCAATCTGCATCAGAAAAGGCCTCCAAAGACTGTGAACGCGGATTCCCACTTTAGCCTTCTAGGCTAGAACCCTCAAAAGCCTGTGCCCGTGAGAGGAATAAGGTAATGAGATTCCGGTATGGACTTTTTTTCTTGTTACGACGAGATCGAATTCCTTACTTCACTCCAATAGGGCTAGCTTTGTAATAAAGTCCCAGATTTGGTGTTCCATTCAAATATTTCACCAAGTGGAGAGTTGCATTCCAGTGTGCTTGAGAAGGAGCTTGTATAAATTGACTAAGTTGTTGAATGCCATAAGACAAGTCAGCTCTTGATAAGTTGAGGTAGAGCAGTCTACCAATGAGCCTCCTATAATTCTCAGGATGATCCAATGGTGGAGAATCAATTGAAGAGAGATTCATGCCTTGGGGTAAAGGTGTCACAGTAGGTTTAGAATCCTACAATCCCAAATCAGTTATAATGTCCAACACATATTTCCTTTGGCTCAGAAAGGTTCCATCTGTAGTCTTCTGAATTTCTAGGCCCAAAAAGTATTTAGTCTGTCCAAGGTCCTTGATGGTAAAAAGATCATTGAGGAAGGCCTTGAGTTGCTGGATTTGTGCTAAACTATGACCAGTGATGAGGACATCATCTACATAAATGAGTAGAATGAGTAATTGTGCACCTGAGACTTTGTAGAACAAGCAGTGGTCATGAGGAGATTGGGTGAAACCATAGGCCAAGAGTTTGTCTGAGAACTCTATGTTCCATTGCCTACTGGCCTGCTTTAAACCATAAAGGCTTCTTTTCAACAGACAGACTTTATTGGATTTTGAAAGAGAGCAATTCTCTCAAAATAATAAAGAGAAAACATCTTTTTTTATCAAATTTTCTTCATCTTCCATACAGGACAATCAACTGTTACATAAGAGTTGAATCCCCTGTATGGAAGATGAAGAAAATTTGATAAAAAAAGATGTTTTCTCTTTATTATTTTGAGAGAATTGCTCTCTTTCTTGTGTTGTTGGGGGAAAGAAAAAATGAAAGAAGTCACTTTTTTTGTTAGGGCCATTTATATTTATATGGCCCTTTTTTACAAGTTGGACCATAAAAATAAAATAGTACACCATTATTTAATATAAGATAGTTATCGTGGGACCCGCTTATGACCTTTGACGATTCCGATTGGCGTCTCTCTTTGGCGATTATGGCATCTACCGAAGGCGGCTTCAAATCCTATTTGGCTCGGTAGCGGGCGGGCTCAACATCTTGGAATCCAGTCGACTTTTAGATAATCGGTCTTGGGTACCTGTTTGTATATTTATTTATTAGGTACTTTCGACTCTTTGGTTATCGGGCCGTATTATTTTATTTATCATTTAATTAATCGGAACCAAATTGGGTATCAACAATATCCTTTTAGAGGTAACATGTACACTTCTTCTTCCGAAAATCCATGAAGGAAGGCATTGTTTATGTCAATGTGATGTAGTTCCCATCTGTGCTGTGTGGAAAGAGCAATGAGAAGCCTTACAGATACAAGTTTAGCCACAGGTGAGAAGCTATCAAAGAAATCCACTCCTTCCTTTTGCAGAAAACCCTTTGCCACCAACCTTGCTTTAAATTTATCTATTGTCCCATTTGGGTTCCTCTTGATCTTGTATACCCATTTAGACCCTATGGCTTTTTTTCCTGCTGGGAGTTTTGTAAGAATCCATGTATTATTAGACTCCAGTGCATCTAGTTCCTTATGCATGGCATCTATCCATCTCTGATCACCAATTGCTTGTTCATAATATAGTGGTTCTGTGGCTGTTTTGTCCACCTCAGAGAAGAACAAGCTCAACTCCTCAGCCTGTGCCAAGTCAATTACATAGTCAGACATCCAAGATGGAGGTTTCTTGCACCTACTGCTCCTTCTGAGAGTTTCATTATCAGAGTTTACTTCTGGTGTCTTCTGAGTGTGTTCTTGTGTCACATCTCCCATATCCTCATCATCATCTATAACTGGCAATGACACAGCTGGTTCTGTGCTGGTTGATACTACTTGACAAAATGGAAACTTGGTTTCATAGAATATCACATCTCTGCTGATAAAGATCTCTTTTGTTTCCAAGTTGTACACTCCATATCCCTTGGTACCAGATACATATCCCAAGAACACACAAGCTGCAGCTCTTTCATCAAACTTCTTGTTGTATGTCCCAAGTTTTTTTGCATAGCATAAACATCCAAAAGTTCTGAACATTGTGTAAGCTGGTTGAGTTCCATGAAGTAGTTCATAGGGGCATTTCCAGTTTAACTTCACACTTGGCAGTGTGTTGATGATTTGTACAGCTGCAAGTAAGCTATAAGGCCAAAGATCCTTCCTCAGTTTTGATTGAAAGGATATTGATCTTGCCACTTCAAGTATGGACCTGTGCTTCCTCTCTACAACTCCATTTTGTTGTGGAGTGTAGGGGCATGTTCTTTGGTGTAGTATCCCATTGTCCTTCAATAAAGCATCCATGTCTTTATTTACAAATTCAGTGCCATTGTCACTCCTCATTTGTTTCACTTTAGCACCAAATTGCACCTCAGCCATTTTGAAGAAGGATTTCAAGTGATTGTAAGTCCCACTCTTGTACTTCATCAAATAAATCCAGGTAGCCCTTGTAAAATCATCAACAATGGTTAGCATGTAAGAAACATTCAGTACTGATTCTTCAAGATGTGGTCCCCAAACATCCACATGGATTAATTCAAACTTCTGCTTTGTTTGTATCTGACTAAGTGGAAAGGGCAGCCTGCTTTGCTTTGATCTGTGGCATATGTCACATGGCTTCAACAATTGAGTCTCAGACTTGTTTGCAAGAAAATGCAAGTGCCTTAGACATTGGACAGAACTGTGACCCAACCTTCTATGCCATAAGAACAGTTCCTCATCCTGTAAGTTTTCTTCATCAGCAGCATTAATCAAGACCTTCTTAGCCTCAATCACATATAAACCTGCTACTGCCTTTCCAAAAGCTACATCAGAGTTAGTTTTAGTGTCCCTCAAGTTGCAATTCTTACTAGTGAACACAAAGTGCATCCCATTATTCTCCACAAGTTGACCCACTGATAGAAGATTGTATTTAAACTCTAGGATCAATAATACATCTTTGAGGATTATCCTATCATTGAACTGTACCTCACCAACTTGTGTGACCTTCAATCTGGTTCCATCAGGTAGATTCACAATGATGGGAACTTGGGAGGTAACTTTCTTTGTCATCATCCCAGCCTCACAACAAATGTGCTTACTTGCTCCTGTGTCCACAATCCAGCTACTTTTGTCAAGTTTGCCAACCAGTGAAAATGCATAAACCTCTTTATCACTTGAATATTCCACAAAATGAGAATATGTGTTAGTTTCTGTTTCATGCTGCCCAGCCATATATTTAGCAATTTCCTTTTGAATCAAGGAACTTATGTCAAGCAATGTGTCACTGTGTTGAGACCTGCTTTCTGAATCACCCTTTGAGGAGTCATCCTTGTCAGCCATATTCACACTCTGAGGTTGTCTTTGCTCCCTCAGCTCTTTAAACCAATCTGGACAGCCATTTAATTTGAAGCATCCTTGGACTTCATGTCCATTATAGCCACAATGTGTGCAAAAGAGCTTTGCTCTTTCCTCCTTAGACAATCTTGGGCCTCCTCTTCCTCTCCCATTATTGAAGTTTTGTGATCCCAAGTTCCTTCCACCATTGCCTCTTCCAAAACCCTGTGTTCTGCCAGCATTGCCTCTCCCAAAACTTCCTCTAACCAGCATGGCTGAAGACTCCAGCTGAGTGGACATTTTTATACCAACACTTTTCTGTCTCTCCACCTTCAAAATCATTAAGTAAGCCCTATTTATGATCAAGCAATAATATTTGATTCTTCACTGGTTCAAAGACTTCATTAAGGCCCATAAGAAATTGCATCAACTTTATCTCCATGTCAACTTCACAAAATTTCTTCCCAGATCCACAAACACAGTCAGGTATAGAGACTGGGCAAGAGTATTCATCCCACAGGCACTTCAACTTAGTGAAATATGCAGTGACAATAAGATTTCCTTGAGTAAAATTTGCTATTTCCTTCTGCAATTGGTACCTTAAGGGTCCATTGCTCTCACCATACCGTTCAGCTAGCTCATCCCACAGCTCTTTGGCATTTTTAACATACGTAAAGGATTCTACGATATCTTTTGAAATGGAGTTAAGCAACCAAGAGATGACCATGGATTCTACCTTTTGGTACTGATTATATTCCTCTGACCCAGCTTCTGGAATCTCTACTGCTCCATTGATAAATCCAAGCTTCGATTTCGCACTGAGGGCAAGCTTCATAGCGCGGCTCCAATGCAAATAATTTGCCCCTGTGAGTTGATTCGTGACCAGGACCAAACCAGGGTTGTCAGATCCATGAAGAGAGAGTGGATCTACATCGCGAGTGTAGATTCCCCTTCCAACGATTTCACGACCTTGCTCATTGTTACTGTGCGCCATCTTCTACCCGCTCTAGATACCATGTAAATCTGAGCTTTGTTTGTGATAAATTGAAAAACGAGAAGAAAAGATGAACAGATCTTAAATCGCCATTTTCATTTGAGCTCAAAGCTCTGTAAATTCAACTCAAAATGATAAGAGACACGTACAACATGCTTAATACCCGTACAGTCCATAATGCCCTACCATAAGCCAACACGTGTTCTATTAAGATGCTAAAATAAAACGCACCCAAAATTAATGAAAACGCGCCCTAAAGAGTCCAAGAGAAATGCGACATAGTTAATAAAAGGATGAACAACAGAAAACAGATAACTGCATGATAACATGCATTACAAACTTCAATCATGTATTACACACTTCAACAAAATCGCACAATTGTTCCGGCCATGCGACGAACCAAGCACCGGCGACCAATGAACCAAGTAGCAGACTACCGGCGACGATTAGAACCAGGCAGCCCCGACGAGTCTGAGGAGCTGCACCCGACCGAGCATCACCAGACGTCCGACGGCGAGGGCGAACTTCTTGAAGACCAGACCAGCGGCAAGACGAGCCACCCGGTACAGCATCTAAGAGACACCAGTCCAACGGCGGGAATGTCAGCGTACGCCGGCGACCGCGAGCCAACTTTTCACGGTGACACGCGATGACCGAAGCTCCTAATTTTCCGGTGAGAATTTTCTGTCAGCGGCTTAAATGTCACCCAAGCGCGCCGACAGATTCAAACAAGAGAGTGAGCAACTACGAGAATACGACCGAGGGTGATTCTTCTCCTCGACTAAGCAACCAATTTTTTGACGAGCATAAATGGCTGAAGAGCTTCCGTTTCTAAGGGCTGAAGGAGATCAGGATTTCACGGCGAGTTGAAAGTTCTGCCGGCGAATAGAGCAGCAGTCGAGCACACCCGAGGGCTCTCTGATCGTGGTCGAAGAGCCCCGCAGTAGACCCGAACCCTCGCACCTCCATCGACGAGCCATTTTTTTCTGTTTTGCTCCTCGTCGAAGAAAGATTAAGAGGAGTCGAGTCCTCAATCAGACGCACATGCATTCACTCATTTCAGTCAGTCAGTAAGTTTAAAGGTGGGGGTTCTATACTATGGTTTATTCTTTATAAACATGTGGTACTATAGTTTTTATATGCATGTGATTGTGGGTCGATGGTCCGAATGTGTGATGAGAACTTTTATCATGGTAGCTTGAAATAAGATTCACTAGGCTGGGTAATTATCAGTTAAGTTTTCTACTAGCGAGACTGGGTAATGCCAATGGCTTTAGTAGAGTTATTTATCAGCGGGATCGGTTGATGCTGAATGCACTAGTAAATAACCATACCGACGTTCATGAACTTAGGTTAACAGCGTATAATAGCTAATCAGCCCGGTAAATTATGGAGGCTTGAAATAAGAGTCACTAGTCCGAATTTACCTGGAGGCTTGAAGCCGGGATGTTATCAGTAAGTAGTGAGACAGTTGAGGTTGAATGTTCATATGATTATTATTCTATTTGTGTTTTTGTTGAATCAATGCATAGTATGAATTTTACCACTGAGCCGAGATACGTTGCTTACCCCTTTGTTTTTCAGGTTGATCGCGGCGGGCACGAGAGTACGGGCGTGGTCATCATTAATTATGTTTTTATATTTTTGCAAACTCTGTTAAATTTAAAATCAATTTGAATGTTTGAATTACGGTTTGGTCAATCGAAATGTGTTTATTGTGAAACATTTATTTATGTTCTGAATGTTTTGAAAGAAAGAATTGTTGGAGTAATGTTCGTTTAGTTTAAATTGAAAACAAAAAGAAGAAGAAAAAAATAATAGTATAAATTTATTTTTTTGAAAATTCGTGTTTTCCTTTAAGTAAATAAGCGGCGTCACAAGTGGTATCAGAGTGGGTCTATGATTCTGTAGACTTGCAAATTTTTAAAAGTTAGAAAAATTTTCGAATAGTTTAAGGTGACCACCCGCCTTCGTCGTGCCGCACCAACTCCGGGGTAAGTGTTATGTGGTAATACTGTTCAGTAAGATAAAGTTTGTGCGAGATAATTCAGTATCAGCATGATAACAATCATATGTATGATTAAGAAAGTTTTTTGCATAATAAGTTTATGTATGACTTTAGATAAGTCTCAGCATAAGTATGTGGCATGTTTGCCTTTTTTTTTTTTTGTGACTATATGTATGACTCTGCAAGAGTCTAAGATGACTTTAGAATGGGGCTTAAGAATTTATCCTCCTTTCTTTAATTAATTTGAACTCTAGTGGTGGATTTTTGTTCTAAAGTTTCGACATGTCATATAGATATGGGTCCTCGTAGAGACCCTCAGCATCAACAGGCTCCACCCGCTCAGGGTGAAGATCATGGTCGGATGATTGAGCGGTTTCAGAACATGCAGCTCCCGACTTTTACTGGAGTGGAGGGGCCGACAGCTTTGACGGAGTGGCTCCGTAAGCTGAAACGAATCTTCACTGTTCTCTGGTGCTCAGATGCCCAGCGCATCGAGTGTGCTGAGTTCCAGATGGAGGGTGATGCCTCTGACTAGTGGACTGACTATTGGGTTCTAAGGTCGGAGGCTGAGCGAATTGCCCTCACTTGGGTGAGGATGAAGGAGATTGTCTCCGACAAGTATTTTTCCAAGAGCTATCACGACCAGAAAGAGCGGGAATTTTAGGATCTCCAGCAGGGCGCCACATCTATTAACTAGTGTTTATTGTGTTTTTGTGCTTATTTTTG